CTTTTCAAACTTTACTGCTGATCAATAGAGAAATTTTTTCATAATATATGTGACTATTGTTTTATGAAAATATCTCCTAGAAATTAATCGCTGAATATTAATTAATTTTATCAAAATATGTCAGATATTAGTATATCAAATCGTAAGATAAGAATTATTAAATGAAGCTCATAAAAGACTAATAACAATGATTAAGTTAATTGAGCAAAAATATGATGAAGAAAAAATTATGTTGAATCTTCATCTTTCTTTATATCTGTATGAATGCATATATGATTATAAGCCATTGTATACTTTTTGGTGTTTTTTATTTGAACAAATGAATGGTTTGTTAGATAGGTTTTTTTATAATTAATATTTGTAAAATAATATTCTAACAAATTTTAAATTTAGAATCATTGTCTAATAGTCATCGAAATATTGAACTTGAACTAATGCGAAGATTGGTAAATAACCACTGAATTATTAATTTAATTATATTCTATTATAATAATATAGGACTTGAAATCTTAAATAATTGATTAAGTATTGGATTAATTTCAGAATTGGATTAATTTTCAATAGACAAACTATGCCGATTCTTAAATAATACATATAATATTTAAGAGACAGTTATCAATGGATCTGAACAATTTTCTGGTAAACTATTGTATTCTAAAAAATTAAATTTAATTGTATCTTTCGAAATCTTGAATTTATTGGTCAAATATTATGAAGCTTCTTATAAAACCATGAACTTTCAAAGGCTATTTGTTGAAGATATTAATAATAATTCAATAATTGTTTAAAATAGAGCTGATTAATATGAAAGATGTCAAATTAAAAACAAAATCTTTGATTTTGTTATGTTATCACAAAATATAAAAGGTTCATTTGTTTTAGCCCGATTTGTGAATTATAATGGAAGTATCAATTTATACCTGAGACAGGTTCACTTATTTGATTAACTTATTGAATAATGTGACAAAATACAATTTGGCTTTTATTCGATAATTTAAATCTGTTAATTTGGCAAATATTAGGTTCTATTTTGGATCTAAAAATAATGTGAATATTGAATTATGAAGTACCAAATTTTATCCATTTAGATGTGAATATATAATTCCTATTTACAATATTTTTAGTCGATTTATTCTATTTAAATATAAATTTCAAATAGATAAGATTTTTGTAAATATTTAGCTATTATTTCTTTAAATTATAAATATAATATATAAAATTTTATCAAAACATATATAATTTGGCAATGTAAGATAATTTAGCAAATATACATATATAGATATTGATTTGTATAAGTTCTTTGTATATGATTCTAATACTCAACATATATCAATAAAATGATATGTACTTTTCACTTAGCCACCTTAAAAAAAAAATTTTTTTTAAAGGAGAATAAAAAAATATTTAATAATATGAAATATTTAAAAATTATAAAAGTTATAATAAAATAGTAAAAGAGAAAACAGAGAAAAAAATTAAAAGAAATAAAATAGTAAAAGAGAAAATAGAGAAAATAATTAAAAGAAATTTAATATCTAATTAAATTAAACTTTATATATATATTTTACATTTTTTTAAAATATACTGTATATATGTATTTTGATAGGATATTTGTTTTAACATTTATTTAACAACAATGGTTGTTAAATTCTCAATCTATTCGCTTTAGGGCTAAATCAATTACGCACTTATGCATCTTGCAGAATATTGTCCAAGTGTGTATTGTTTAAATGCGCATTCGTAATGATGCATAAAAATATTTGTTATCCACTATGAGATTAGTCATAATGCATGGGAAAACGAAACACTCTTATTCATGAATTATAGAGTCCACCCATGTTGTAAATAGCGGCGTGTTCTTTTAGAGAATGCCACAGGGAATTATGTTAATCGTGATATTTCAGACGTTGGCTAAGTGTATTCTGGTATCACGAGAATCAAGAAAATTTTAGTTATCGAAGAGCACATGTCAGTGCTTCTTAGAGGGATCGGGCAGAAGTTGGAACAATACCATTGTTAACCAGAATATCGTGGGCAAGTGAAGCCTCTTATTCGTAGAAGAACAAAGACGATTCTTTAGTTAAATGGACAATTTTAGAATCAGGCAATCTAATCTATTTATCGATTAGATCATTGAAATATTCTCATTGAGAAGTGAGCACATTTGAAATTCATTTCTCTGAATGTTATTGTTATTATTAATTAACCGAATCATTATCCATTCAGTTTTTCCAAATCTGGTGACGAATTTTGTTGGCTTTGCGAGAAATCATGCTGTGTTAAATAAGGATAAATTCACACTTCTATTCATTCTTTGTCAGCTCAGATGGTTGATCTCGTTCTACTTGTACATTTTTATTTTCGAGACCCATTACTGTACCATCGAGATTTTCGAATTTGATGACGATCATCGAAAAAGCTTTTAACGGAGTAGATATGCAATTCGAGGCTATTTAGCGCCTTTGTCTACTTTTGCTGATCATCACATTAGACTCATACATACTGTATATTATTTTTTTATAAAAAATATAGTAGTTAATCAAGAAAGATATTAGGCTTATTATTTGATAATATTTATTTATCGACCAAGTATTAAATCACGATACGCTAATGCATGTATGGTTGCCATATCAAACGCCCAAACCATAAAATATCATGGGCTTGTCCATGCCCAAATTCCAAAATCCTGGTTTTACTAAAATCATCGATCATTTTGATTATTAATTCTACATTTGATCAATGTCAAATCAATTAACCATTATATATTATGTGTTTTTCGAATTTTCAGCATTATTTTTTTAATCATTCATTTTTTTAAAATCCAAAAAAAAAAAAGCTTTTTAAGGCTTGGTCATTTGACTGGTTCGGGTGGGCAAACTATTATAATGCATGTACTGTCTAAATGCATAAATTTTTTTGACAGATGGCATGCAATTAGTATATATGCAGCATAATAGTTTCTATTTTTGCGATTATACTTTTGCCATTTATTCTATTATCAATAATCTAATATAATTTACTTAGTATTTTTTGAGATAGAAAAATTATATTAATGTTCGTTTTCAAGAAAAATTTGTTAGTAGAATTTCTTTGATGTGCATTCAAAACCAATAAATTTCTATTTATATTTGTTTAACATCTGCGATCTGACTAATTACAATTAACACGATAAGTCAAATAGACCAATCAGAGAATCAGAGGCTATCCATTTGATCAGTTTTGTAGAATAATGGTCATTGCATCAATAAAAAAAAATTCAGGATTATTTATTGAATAAAGATCTAGTTTATGGCGAAGCTAATTTGCCAATGAATTCGATTTTTATGTCCGTGACATTTAATCAGGAAATTAATGTATTTCCAGAATAGTCGATTTCCTGTATTTTATTTACTGCATGTTCATTATGTAGCTAGCTATTAGTGACATGACAAAGGAATCTCGTGTTTCTTTTTTTTTTGAAAAAACTTGGCCCGCGGAAAGGAGATTCCACGATGTTCTGTCGGTTTTTAGTTAACTCTATCAGTGAATTTAAAACACGACTCCTTATTCCGATACCCTGTTTCCGAACCGATTAGGCTAATCAGTCGTCAGCGATCGATGACTTTATGTCCGGATTTAGATAATCTAAAATACTTTTTAATAATTAAGCATATACTGTAAGTACTCGGATTCAATATGTTAATATGTTATATAAAATGAAGATCAGACTTGGGGTAAAAAAAAAAAAAAAAAAAAGAGCTAAATTTGTCATTTCCTTTAGCATTGCAATTAACAATTTATCGACTAGGAGAAATTATTTGCAGTAGTGGAGGAGGTTTGTGACGCGTGCGAATACACAGATTCTCATATTTGATTTTATATGCGAGATGAATAGCATTCATTCATCAGTCATAATACGCTTTCCCAAAGTAATGCATTTGGTCCCTCGAGATGATATCATGAACTCAGATTTGTCAATCTCATTTACGTTATCTCATAATTCCACGTGAGCACGTACCTGCATTTGATGGCCTAACAAATTAATGGGGTGGAAAAAAAATCCACTTATTGAAAAATAGTAGTAGTCTACCGTATTACAAATCTGAGCACATGAAGTGATGGGGAAAAATTTCTTAAATTAATTAATTGAGGGGATCATTTATACTTACTTTTATACAGACTTCCACGAGAGCGGCCGATAATCACTACAATTAACTGTCCAGAATTTTTTTTTAAATATGACGCCAAAGTGAAGATCCGAGAATTTTAGAAATACAAAATTACGGGATACATACGCGATAAAAAAAAAATTGCACAAACAAAAATTCACAAAACTTCCCCTATGTAAAACTATAATTTGTGGAGATCTTACCTTAATCGCTACTCGACCGAAGTTTTGTGAGCTACAGCAATACCCATATTATATAAACACTGATTTTTATTCTTCTTCCTACTTTTGGAGTCTCTTACTTAAAACTCGTTTCTTCTTATTATATTTTTTGCCTTCTTTTATCTATTCGTATATATATATATATATATATATATCTTTGACGGTCTTTCTCAACAGAAGCGTCTTGAAAAAAGGTCCCTTGGCCATTTTGTTTTTTTTTTTTTTTTAAAAGAAAGTTAAGGCCATTTCCAAAATACTTGTTCCTTTGAAAACTTTTTAACTTGTTATGTCTTGGACGCTATATTCTTACATCAGTGTTTTTGCTGCGTTGACAATAATTAACGCGCATTCAGCTTTAAGTCAAAGCAATTACACGGGTTCGTGATTCTCTACGATCCTTTTAAAAAATAAATATTTTTTGTTACTGAAACTTGCATTTCAAACTTAACTAGATCTTTCAATAAACTGTTCGAGCTTTACTTCATGTGGAGAGTGTACGAGTCATCTGGAATGTGGTTTCTGTGTAACGGTGAGCCTCATGCGCTTTCGAAATTCGTGATGTTTTCGTCCTTATACTCTTCTTTAGTGCCGATTAACTTAATGAACCTAATTGTTCTAGACAAACTCTTGTATGCAAGGTGGTTGGAAAGGTCCATTCGGTAAACCATCAGTGTGTCCAAGTTGGGATTACGAATATGCCCAATGTTTTGGTAAGTTGTGTCTACCTCGGTTAATCAGTAATTGACGCACCATTATTTTATCCCATTCAAATTTGACTCGCTTTTTCCTTACAAATTCGTGCATCGATCAAACATGAAGGAGGGCACGAGATAGATGGATCATAATATATACAAGTTTGTTATAATTCTCTGACCAATTTTTTTATTCTTTCAACAGTCACTCACAAGCAAGCCTTCATTTCGTTGGCGTCTGCTTTAGCCGGAATCATAATTTTTTCAATCTTGCTGTGTTTCTGCTGTTGTCTATGCAGATGCTGTAGATTTAGAAGTAGTGACGAGGAGAGGGTTCCTCTCATCGGTGGTGATTCCTTGGCCACAAATCACTTCCGTCGTGCCTCATATTACAACTACAATCGAAATCCCTTTGAAAGGAAGGGTAGGACTTTGAGCAATGGGACATCGAGTAGTACAATGCAGTACGGTCGTAATTGGCGAAATGGTACGGATGAATTCGCATATGGATATGGTGGGCATACCACGCCTTCCATGCTGTGGGTCAATGATAATCCTAGTTTGAACACAGATTATTCGATGGGATCACATAATAATAGTCTCGGTAATGGTGAATGGCGTCGCTGGGAGAAAAAACGGGAAGAATTACTAGCCAGATATGCTAAAAGCAGTAATGAAGGTTGTTAATTCCTTTTACCTCGAAAGAGTTCACCCTTAATACTTCAGGAGTGTATATAGTTTGTTCTACCTCGTAAAAAATTTATATTATGTTTATTTGATTTCGGTATATATATATATATATATTCCATTTCTTTCTTTCCTTTCTTTTTCTGAAGCATTCCTTTTTGTATCAAAAACAAAAAAATCAAAAAAAAAATTCCCAAATTCAATCTGTATATTGTATACACTTTTTTTTTACCTGGGAGGTTTTTGTTCATGAGACCTTTTCCCAATATACATACCAAGTTTAAGTTTCGCCCTTTCATTTTGTTCATATTTATTCTTTTCTTTTCTTCGAGGTCATAATATATATATTCCGAGATGGCCTGAATGCACGGCCTCTTTCTTAGGGATTCTATGTAGCATTATATTAATTTTGTTACAAGCTACGCATATAATAATTCAAAACTTAATTTGTAATTTCTCTGGGCAATATTCTCGGAATCATATATATATATATATATGCAATTATTTATTTTCATCTTTTATTTTTTCTTTTCCTGAAAAAATTCCCCTGTATTTAATTGTTAGTCTTTGATCGACAAAAGTGAGAAATAAACGACTCCCAATCTTTAAATGGATTAATAATAAGTAAAATCCATAGAAAAAAAAAAAGATTAATAATAAGAGTCCGATTCATATTGTTGATTTCTGATGTGGAATTTGTTTCTATTAGTGATGAGACGATCTCGATGGAAATTAAACGTTTTATAATAACTATCCTATGTTTATGATAAAGCGCAATTAGTGATAAGCAAAATTAAGATGATCTCTCTTCATCGTCAACATGCCGAAATGATTAAGCTTCCAGCCAATCAAGAAGCTGTGGAGTATAATAGGTTAGAATTATATTTGCACCTAATATTTGATATCCGGAGAGAAAGTGAATAACTTGTATTAATGACGATAACAATGCGAACAGCAGAAACAAATTTACGTACCGGCTCTTACAAAACCCTCCATGCTCTCGAACACGGCGACTTTAAGATCAAATACTTTCGCTTCAGCAGAACGCCAGATCATTGCGAATTCACCTGAAACTTGGTAAACGGCGAGCGGTACGTCCGGTCCCAATTCCTTCGCATCACGGAGGATGTCTAAATATGGCATTCCTGGTTTGACCATAATGATATCCGCACCCTCTCCAAGGTCACGGGTCTAAAATTTTTAATCAGTGACGAGGAAAAAAGATGTGACAAGCAGACGTATAATTAGGTCTATTTACAATTGCTCGACGCGCTAAGCCTCTAGCATTTGGTGGAAGCTGATAGCATTTACGATCACCGAATTGGGGAGCCGAATTGGCGGCATCTCTGATTTTTAACAATAGTTAAATCTTCAATGGCAGATCTGGGGCAATGTGATTAATCAAAACGTGTAGACACCTGAATGGTCCGTAAAATGCGCTCGCGAATTTTGCGCTATAGCTCATCAGTGCAACTTTATTACCGAGTCCTTCTCGAATCAACGATTCCTTAATCGCCTTGATTCGACCATCCATCATGTCCGATGGTGCCACGCAGTGAGCGCCTACGTGTCATTAGGATCGTTCGTTAAAAATGAAAAATATATTTATCGGGTTTGCAAAAAAAACAAACCTACCCGCTTTGGCGTAATTGATCGCCACTTCGGCTAAACGTCTGACGCTGGCAGTATTATTGATGGTACCATCTTGGTTTAAATATCCTATCACATGAATTCAACGCGACGAATGAAGTGAGATTACTAAAAGACTGTATCAGAGGTTTTTCCTTTCCGTTTTACAAGGGATCTCTCATTTACCACAGTGACCATGGTCCGTATACTCGCAAAGACAAATATCACAGGCGATGTACAACCCCGGAAATTTTTCGCGAATAAGTTTTACTGCAAGAATAACCGGGCCATTTGAATCATCAGCTTTCGTACCAATCGCATCCTTAGCGTCAAAATAAAAGATTGTAGTATAAATAAAGTGTTTGAAGATGGTGTGTTAGGTAATGAACTCGGGATTTTTACTTTTCCGCTAGTTGGGACACCAAATAAAATAAGAGATTTCAAGCCTTTTTCCACGAGTGGTTTAAGGAACCCTTCAAGTTTATTAATGCCCCATCTAATTTAGTTGTGCGAGAATTAGGGTTGACTTACCTGGCATATACTAATCATACGATCGATTTTAAATTAATTACCTTTTCTGACAAGGCAAGGAAGGAATCTCTTCTTCCGCATCAGCTATATCCGTTATAAAAATTGGATACATCAATGAAGATTTCCTTAAGACCCTTTCGGACTGCCATAATCTCAAGGTCGGGTGATTGTAACCCCCTTGGAGAATTGATGAAATGTCGGTCATTTGGTAATTTAAAGAGGTTTCAAGAAAGATGTATGTCAATGTGCATACATGGCGATCCCAATTTTTATTGATAACAGATAATAGATCATCGATGATACAGTACTTTGGATAAAAAAAATGGGTTTTACAAAAAATTTAAAAATGAAAAAAGAAATTAAGGGAAAAAAGAAAGAGGTGGTGAAGGATAACCGAGAGGATCCTGAAGAGGATCGAGAAGATAGCGAAGATCAAGATTCCGAAGACCAAGATTCCGAAGATCAAGAAGATTCCGAAAACCAAGATTCCGAAGATCAAGAAGATTCCGAAGAGAATCAAGATTTTGAGGACCAGGAAAATTCAGAAGAGGATCGAGAAAGCGGTGACCTCGAGAGCACTAATTCTGAAGCCGAAAGTAATATTGGAAATTCACAGTCAGAACCTGAAGGTGTTCCATTAGAGGAACTTTCTGACTCGGAAATAGAAGGAGACATCATTCCGAAACAACGCGTCACGATAAATAACAAAGTCTGTTTCAATACCAATTTTATTTATTTTTTTCCTTACCCTCTTGTTCATTCATATTTATGTTTAAATTTTCTCCATTTTAACAAGTCAGCACTAAGAAAAATTTGTAATGAAATTAAAATTGACGCACCATGGATCGAAACCCAGTCAATCACATCTTCGGAACCGGTGGTGATCAAAGACGTTCATAATGACGTTGAGCGCGAGCTAGCATTGTTTGTATTTTGACACGTATTTTAGGGTAAAATGTTTTGTCAAATCGTCCTAAATAGTTAAAATTATGCAAACAGTTATAAACAAGCACTCGAAGCTGCCGTTGAAGGACGCGAAAAGATCATAACCTCCGGGGTACCGTTTTCGAGACCAGATGATTATTTTGCGGAAATGATTAAATCTGACGAGCACATGTCTAAAATACGGAAGAAATTGATTGACGAGGAGAAAGGGATTAAAGCTAGCGAAGAGGCGAGGCGTCAAAGAGAATTAAGAAAATTTGGCAAAAAAGTACAAGTGGAAAAAATTCAAGAGCGACAAAAGCAAAAGAAAGAAGAACTGGAGAAGATTAAATTATTGAAGAAAAGTAATTGCGTTTAAGTGCGTCGAAAAAAATATTTTGGAACACAAGAGTTGTATGCCTCAACCGTTTTCATTCGATTATTTCATTAAAATCCAGAACGAAAGGGTATTGAAGAGAACGTTGATGATGATTTTGAAATCGCGTTAGACGAAGCTGCTGAGGATGACAGACCAAAGAAACGACAAAACACTGGAAAGAACAAAAAACGTCTAACTAAGGTACCATGATCTCCTTGAGTGGAACGTTCTTTTTTACCTCTTAGTAAAGTTATTCCTGTCCAAATCTTAGGACGTAAAATTCGGATTTGGTGGAAAAAAACGATTTTCAAAATCGAATACTTCCGAGACATCTGGAGATTTATCTGGATTTGGCGCAAGTGGTGGTAAGGGTAATTTTCAGGTAGGCATCATTGCATTTTGTTTGATAATTGGCAAATGTGAAATGTTCAATAGTAGTTAATTATTAATAAACTTGTAGACAAAATTTAAAAAAAAGAGTATGAAAAATCGACCAGGAAAAGCCAGAAGACAGAGTGCAAGAAACAAAAAACGCTAGTTTGTTCAATCGAGAATCTTTTGCCGGTCCGTTTTAGCCTTTGGTTTAATATTACTTTTTTAAAAAAGTGTGTTATCAATTAATATTCTATATTTATAAGTTGATTTTAAAATGTTGAGTCCCTGATTATTTACAAAATTTAAACTAAAAATATCTATATAAAAAAAACAATTTCTTTTTAATATTAAATAACAATTGATATTGTAAATAAGCAATAAATGATAATTATTGAAAATAATTAATAAATAATATTAATTATATATTAGCTTAAATATTAAATATTAATATATATATATTTATTTAATTTGAATTTAATTTTTTTTCAATATTTTCATATTTAAATTACAAAATATTGGCTTATTTCAACTATTATAATTTTATTTTATTATTATTATTATTATTTTAACTTAATTAGTTAGTATTCTTTATTTAATTTATATATACAGTATATACATTATGTATTATAAGAAGTTACTACCCATAAATTATTTTATATTATTAAACTATATTAAATTTTATTTCTATATTAGCTTGTTACTATTGATTATAAACCTGAAGATTTATTTATATTAAAGTTAACATACTATAACATTATTAGTATTATTATTATATATTAAGCTCTATTTTTAACTAAATATATTTAGAAAAATTTTAAAAAAGAAAAAACTGAAAATAATATCTATTAAGTAAATAAAATCTTGCAAAGAAATTTATCTAAATCTGATTATTTGCAAATAAGTATATTATTTAATTTCTATTTTCTTAAAGTTATTCAAGAATATTTAAGAAACTTATCTTATAGATCTACTATCTATAAATTATTTTAGCTATTAATACTTATTGCTATTTTAGCTACTTTCTTGAAATAAATAATTATTGAAACAATTTGATTATTGAATTGAAATAAGATCTTTTCAAAAACTTGTAAAAATAAATATTAAATACCATAAGAAAATAATTACCAAATTATCTTACTGAAAATAAATATCTTATATACATTACAACTTTTAATAATTATTATAGCACTTATCAAACAATTGTTATATTATAATACCTTTTTTGAAAATTATAATATTAATATTTACTACCTGCTTAGCTCCTGGCAATATCCTATTAGTGATACTCGACATCACTTAATGAAGCTTCCAGTGCAATATCATTGAAATCAGAAATAACAAAAAAATCCTTCAACCAGTAACAATTCATTTGAGAAGAATGGTCAAAATTAACTTTTCTCTCCTAATCCAGCAAATAAACCAAATCCTGAAACAGAAATCAATAGAAGTCATATATACCAAACCTAAGTTTAGACCATTTACAAACAAGACAATTCAATGGAGCAACTACCTATCACACTTCGCAGAGAGCCCTCTAATCAACAACACATGTTTAGGCAACAGTGTCAGATGGTGCAAAAAAATCTTCAGTATTACTAGAAATTATATGATTTGTGAAAGCACCTCAGTTCTCCAAACTTTTGAACAGCATCATATTCTATACGGTTTAAAAATCATTAATCAGTCCAATAAAAATATCAAAAGGGTATACAACAACAGCTATAGCAACCTAATAGTATTCAGAATCAAACTCCTCTCAGGAACACTCCCAACTCGTCAAATGTTCCATCAATATCATCCTGATTAATACTCAAATAGGTGTTGTCCAAAATGTGAACTTCATACTGAAGATATCCAACATGTCTTTAAATGTCCTGAAGCCTCAGAAGAGGCCAGTCAAATCATAAACAACATCAATCAAATTCTTCATCCAGACAAAAACTCCAGACCAATCTCTCATATATGGCAAGTCATGGAACTGTCATATGACATAACTGATAGAATATTCTCCATAACAGATACCACCAACTGGGTCAAAACATCAACTGAATCCCTAATCCAATTGTATAACTCAATCTGGAAACCACGATGCAATATCACCAACACCTCATCCCTTACAGGTATAAATGAAAACCAAATGAATTACTGAACACCACCAATTCAACCAAATCATAAGAAATTATACCGCTTCTAGCAAAAACTTGCACTCCAATGATATCCAAAACAAAACCATCATAGACCTACCGACAATTGTTGCCAACTCTTTCCAAACACCATTCCTCCTAATATTGAGTAGGTATTTATAGCTGCTTGGTGCCACATGGCAAGATATATTGTTTTAAACTTTTTTTTCAATTTTAGTCATATGGTTACTGTAGGCAAGCTAGCATTTAACTCATTGTATCAACATATAAAAGATGTTGATTCTTTCATGATGTATATCTTATTATATACAAATAAAATAAAGAAATAATGTTTATCTACTTTAAAAATATATATATATATATTAATATTTACTGGATTAGTATTTAAAATAGCTTTTTATAAAAAACAGTACTTTAATAAATTATAGTATTAGATATTAAATTAATTTTGTTTAATTGCTTTCATATAAAATTAAATCAATATTTTATAATTTGATTTGTAAAGTATTAATTACTATACTATTAATATAATTCTGAAAATTAGAATTGAACAAACTTATATAAACTTATATAAAATTTAAAACATTATTAAAAATAATGGTGAGTTATAATTCACATATTAAATTTAATATAAATCTGAGAATTGAGAATCAAATTATTAAGATCATTAGCTATATAGTTAATTTAAAGTATAATTTTAATTAATTAATTTAAAACTTAACTTATACTAATTTAATTATATTTTTAATACTTGAAATTAAATTTATAGAGTTTATTTCAAGTAATAATAAGAATAAATAAAGAAAAAAAAAATAAATATAATATATATTATTTAATAACTTTTTCTGCTGATCCTTTTGTCAATCCAAAAAACAGATATTCTCAAAAAATTTTTGTCTTTATGATAATAAAGTCTATATACTTTCCTTAAAACAATACTGGTTTTTAACCAGCCAAGTGAGCAGAAGCTATTATTTGTTTTATTTTTATTTTTCAAAACACTTTTCTTGTTTATTTCTGTGACTAAATACAAGAAACCTATCTAAGAGATCTATGGCAAGAACACCTTTACAGAAAGAAAACTGACAAGAAAAAATACACTCCAAAGAATTCCAAAAGACTCAAGAATCTAGAGAAACAAAAACAAAGAAGTCTCCAGTCTTTCTATTATCTCTTTGGCCTCCTACTTTTTCTTTAACAAGCATGTTTTCTTTTTTCTGATTTTTTTGAGGAATTTTGCCTACCTCAGTTTGACTCTAAATTTTTTGGTCACACCGGATTTCCTGAAAGATAATAAGTCAAGGTTACAGATTGATTAATCATGTTGGCTACAGAAAATATAAACAAGACACATACTCCTCATGTGTTCCTAGTTGCACAACACTAAACTGATGATGTGATTAGTTCCTAAAAGAGTTGGATGGTTTTTAGTTGAAGGAGTAGTATAGAAATATTAGATAAAGTTGAAGTTGTAAGTAGAAGAGAAGCGATTCTTTTTTGTTTCTATTCTTTTATTTTTTTTTTCCCTATTCTTTTTTGAGGACAGGAAGTAGCAATAAGATCTAGGTTATATATGTGGTATAAATTATTTTGCTGTTGACTCAATTCTCAAAATCTTCAAAAATAATTATGTTATGACTCAATTATTTATATGTTTTAATAGTGGCTCAATTAATTGCATCAAATAATTATGTCAATTGCGTCAAAGATCTACAAATTTCAATAACATATATAGTCTAGGTCCTATTCCAATCTGGTAACAAGTTGAAGTACCAATATTTGTCCTGAAAATAGTTGGAAAAAGGAATCTTAAAACTATTTTCCAGTTGAATGAAGCAATAATTACAGAAGATATGGCTTGGGAGAGAAATCAACAATAGAAAACCAACATTCTTTTTGATTAGAAGTCTTCAAACATAAAGTCTTAAGAAATACTCTCTTGGAAGTGCCCTTAAACATTTTTGGACATCGATTACTTCAATGGAAATTAAATAATTCTATTGGCTACAGGTGATGAGAAGTGAAAAATCATAAGGGACTTGAATTTTTGAAGTTTATAGAGATAACCTCTTCAATGATAATTAGAATAAACAATAGTTTTTTTCTTTTCTTTTGTTCAAAAAATTCCTTTTTTTTATTTCTTTTTCCTCTTGTGTAGTTACTACAAGAAAGGGTGACACAATTTGGGTTTATGGTTATAACTGCAAAGATGATCTGCAGGTTTTGATCCTATTGAAAGTTTGGAATCTTAATCCTATCCTTTAGGGGAATAATATATTACTCCTATAACTTGCATTTAGAGGCTTCAGCTATAGACAGGTGAGTTGGGTTAGGAAAATTTATACTTTGCATGGATTCTCAACTTGTAATAGTTTTTTATAATTTAATAAATAAATAACACCAACCTAATTGCAGGATTAAATATATACGGTAGCTCACAAAAATAACCGATCACTAAAATAAATAATGTTAAATATAAATAAGTTAAATAATAATTTAT